TTTTGATCTGAAAGAAGATGAAAAGAGAAACTCTCAGCCGTCGGATCTGATGACTTTGACTTAAAGTCAATCTTTCCTTTTTAGATTGGATCATAATCTCCAAATTTCCTTACTTTGAAGATACAAAGTCATTTACTTTTCAGTTGTTCCATGATTTTACAATGAAAGTTCAATTTGATGTTTCAAAAAGAAAGAAAGGAAAATTTGATCATTGATTCATTATCATCATTACATAAAAGATTGTACACGGATAAGATTTGAGAGCAACATAATATGGAGATCTTTGTATCACTGAATCAATTGTTACAAGTTATAACAGACAATACAAACAATTCATGTGATTTTAACAGCAAAATGATACATAGAGAAAAAAAAAGGGTTGCATTCATTTTATACTGCCTACAAAACACAACCATCAAAGAAGATATATTTTTTTTTATGTGGTTCGGTTAAAGTTCCCATCAACTTGCATATGGAGCCATTCCGGTTGAGACACTCGGGTTTCGTTAGCTTCTTGTTGCTCATATATAGTTCGATGAACGTCAATCGGTAAATTCCCCAGCTGTAAAACACGAAGCCAAGAGCTTATTAGGTATTACGTTTTGATTACGAAAGATCAGACTTCTCTAAGACCTAACCTGATGAATCATATGTTTGATAGATTTGGGACTTACATCTCCGGAAGGAAAACCTCCTATTGTAGGACCAGTTGTCACACCCGAGTTAACAACTTCGAGCTTCATTGACAGAAACTGCAGACCAAATTCCATTATAGGCATGTAAAGTTGCAACATATAACAGAAGAGGAATTAACGATTTTTTACCTCAACTTGCCGCTGCAACGACTGAATATAATTGATAATCTCATCGAGCACAAGGGCTTTTCCGATTATCTGAAACAACGGAAATATCGTGTTGAATGTTTAAAGGCTAGAAGAATAACAAAAGAGCATCATTCGCATTTCGCAAGACAAAAAGACTTGTCATTTACCTTATTACATCCCGGTATTATATCTTGAAGAGCCGTCATCTTCTCACTGATCTTTTCTCGTCTAGCCTGTCAAAACACAAATTGTGATTGTAAACAAACAGTTTCAAGGATCGATTTTGGTGTAAGCCGATATGAATTAGCAGAAGAATTACTCGCTCTGCTAGACTATGCCGGTCAGTAGCTTGTCCTCTTCTTGCTCTCACATGAATATAATCCTTAGGTGGCTCAGGTTTGTTCTTCTGTTCAGTTGCTTTGCTTCCACCACCAGAACTTGTTTCGCCTTCAGGTCTCATCGAACCATCCCCATTTCCACTTTCAGATCCACAAATCTTCCTTTTCTTATCTCCCGATTCTTTCTATTAATAAAGTAAACAAATGCAAGACTTAAGATCCTAAATCAAATTCTCAATCTAAGAACACTATATAAGACAGTGAGCATCAAGCTCAATCCAACTCAGTCAGAAAGTCAATGGATAAGTCATCTAATCAATAAACTAATCCTTGAACCCTAAATCAAAGACTATGCTTTGACTAATTGGATCATCACCAAGCTTAAGATCTAGATTCAAATACTCAAAATCAGAGATAAAGCAAAATCAAGGGTTTGGTTTCAATTAAGGGCAAAAAGAATCTCACCAATTCATTACCACTGCTGCTCGAAGAAACCATCTTTGAAGATTCGTCTTCAGAGTTCAAATCTCGAGTCTTTCTTCTTCCCCAGCCTGCAGTTAGGTCGGTGACGGTAGATTCCTCCGCCGTAGAGACGACGTCTTTATTGCCGGAATGTTCAACTAACTCGGACCGAGTGAAGACTCGACCGGAATTAACGGCTAAACGGAGACCAGAGCGAACGGCGTCGTTTACAGGGAAAGGCCAAATCTCGGAGAGAGTGTAAGAGGAAGGATTTGCAGCGGAGAAAGAAGAGTCGTTCACTAGTGGAGGGTCCATTTTCCGACGATCCAGTTTTCGGAATCGTAAAAAGGGTTGACCCAGATTTAGGACCCGGATCCGAGAAGCGAGGAGCTTGGGAAAAATAATGGAAAAAAGATTTGAGCTTCGCGAGGTCTTGTCGTGTTTATAGAGCTGTGTGTGAGATGAGGAAGAGTGATATTTGCAAGAAGAAATTTTTCATTTTCTTATAACCGATTAAATAATAAAAAGAACTTTGAATTTTTAAAAATTATGAAACAAATAAACGAAAAAAATAATTAATAAAATTCAA